ACGGAAGAAAAAGGAAAGGAAAGGAAGAGGCCATGGGAGGGGAGGAAGGAGGGAGGAGAAATGTAGCAGGGAGGACAGGCAGGAGAGCAAGGGGGAGAAAAGGGAAAGAGAAGGGGGAAAGGATACGGAGAAGAAAAATGAGAAGAAGAAAAAGAAATAAAAGAAAAGCAATGGAATGAGGCTGTCAGACAGAGGAAAAGAGGTTCGCATAATACCCAAGAATTAGAAGACACTGTGTTGCTGAACCCACAAGTAATTTGTTTTGGCCAGAGTATGGAATTCTTGGGGGAATTGTGAAGGAGGACATTGGACTACTGAATATGAGCCATATCGTGATGAGCTAATGTCATGATAAAATATTTGAATTCTGTCCTGGAGGCAATAAGACTTACTGATGGATTTATGAGAAGTGGAGACCTGGCCTTATGGAAGTATCATCTGTTGGAAGTCGATTGTTGCGTAGAATACTTTAAAATTGGAAGAAAAAATATCCCATGGAAAAAAATAACGTGGGCTTGAACAAAGTCAGAGTTTAATAATAATAGTAATAAATAAGAGAAGAAAATTTAAGAAATGAAGTAGGAGATTCTCTCAATATTTTTTAACCATATTGATATAAGGGTGAAAAAAAGAGAAGAATATGTAAAAATGACTCTTAGCTTTTTGAGTGAGACAAAACAACCGCCACTGGCTCAAACACGGAATGAATGAGAGGGAACCGATTTTGAAAGAAAATTGGAATTTACTTCTAAACATGCAGATTTTCAGTTTCTGTAGCAAATATGTTTGCTCACTCTACTCATAAATCTATTCCCCTTGCTTACCTCTATTCCAAGGGCTAAAAGCTAAATATTCAGTTTTGCTAGCCTTCCTAGCAACTAAAGTTATCCAGATAAAATAGTTAAGCCAATGATGTGGCCAAAAACATTGCCCCTTCTTATTTCTGCCTTCTTCCTGCCCCAAATTTGAGATGTACAGGTCTTCATCAGTCGTCTTATAGCCGTAAAGTCACAAGCATAAGGCAGTAAAGCAAATACAAAGTAAGTCCTTGGTCCTTGACTTTAACAGTATTGGGGCTGATGAAACTTTGCCATAATTATCTCCTCCATTTCTGCAAGTAATTTAAGCAAACTTGCCTGTTTTCTTGCATCCAAATGCAAGAAGCCCTATGCCTACCCTCCATGGAAATTGGATTTTCTGATGACAATGTCCAGAAGATGCTGGACTGCATGTCTCCGATGCTCCTCCATCACCAACCCTGCCCCAACCACCACCACCAGTACTGCATGAGACTAAAACTACGCATTCTAGTTAGCTGGGTTTCTGCCCCAAGTACAATAATCAGTGTAATACCAGACCTTGTGGTTCACAAATGCTAGTCCTGTCCTTAAGCCTGGCTCTACTGGCTACACACACACACACACACACAAACACACACACACACACACACACACACACACACACACACACACAGAGGCACTATCCTGAGAATCTTATTTAAAATTCAGGCTCCATTCACAGTGATTCTCATCTATCACTGGAGTGAAGCCCAGAATCAATCACTCCCCAACGTGATTCTGATGATTAACTAGGTTTAGTCTGTTATGACAGTGCCTGAACTTGACTAGAGAGTCTCGTTTGGCAATTTAATGCTACTTAATTTTACAGTCTCTCACATTTCTGCCATTTACAAAGTGCAGCCCCAACCAAATGCCAGTCTCATCCCATAATGCTTTATGGTTTTCCTCTATTATTAATCTTCATGCTGCTGTGTTTTCCTCCCAAAAACGTAAATATGTGCTCAATCCTTATTTTATTTGGAAAACAAAAACAAAAGCAACTACCTGTGTCCTCGTCTTCAAATAAGATACCTGGTGACCTCATCTGAATCCTGGATTTCTCTGTAAGAAAACCACTTCCTTCGCAGATTTCCCAGGAGATTACATCGTTTTTTAATGCCCCATAAAAGGCAGCGCCTAATTCATCTAAATCCCCAGTGTTGCTTCAACACAAACATTTATCTTTGAATGTGTACAAACATCGTGGCTCATGATATTCAACTTATTGTCCTTTGACACACATGTAGGTCTACTTTCCATATTCATTGATTACTTCAGCCTTAGATTTCAAAGTCCTCCTCTCCAGTCCAAAAGCTTATCATGTTATGTAAATTTCATATTCATGTGAAAGGCTCAGACAATATATGAGCCTTAAAATTTATTGATGTTTCTTCTTTAGTAAATTTCATTTCCACACCACCTCAAATACATTATGGTTATAATGATGTCTAGAACAATTGCCTTAGAAATTGCAGATGCTCATGTTTTTGTATTGGATCACAATTTTTCTTTGACTATTCAGCTTTCTGAAGCCTCGCTTGCACTATGATTGCTTTTAAACTTCTATAGTGATTTTATAGAGTCTTTTAAAATACTACAAAATTGGCATAGAAGTTGAAGCCAACACACACAAAAAAATGGAAATATATTCAATGTCCATGGATTGGAAGAACAAATACAGTTAAAATGTCCTTACCACCCAAAGCAATTTACAGATTAAATAAGATTTCTATTAAAATACTAATGACATTTTCAAAGAACTAGAGAAACCAATCCAAATATATTTATGGAACCACAACAGATCTTGAATATATAATGCAATCTTGAACAAAAAGTACAAAGCTGAGTCATTATGCAATCTGACTTCAGAATATACTTTAAAAAACAGCATGGTATTAGCATACAAACAGACACATAGACCAACGGATTAGAATAGAGAATACCAAAATAAATCCATACATTTTCAACCAATTGATTGACAAAGGCACCAAGAACACACATTGGGTAAAGAAAAATTTTTCAATAAGTTCTGCTGGGAACATTGAGCATCCACATGCAGAATAATGGAACTAGGCCTGTATCTCTCACCAGATACAAAAATCAAGGCAAAATGGATTAAAGAAAAGACCTGAAATTATAGAAGTACTAGAAGACTTAAGGGAAAGGCTTCACGACATTTGTCTGGGCAATGACTTTTTTGGATAAGAACTCAAAGGATAAGCAACGAAAGCAAAAATTAAAAAAAAAAATGAGATTACATCAAACCGAAAAGCTTCTGCACAACAAAGGGACAACTGAGTGAAGACATGACCTACGGATAGGAGTCAATGTTTGTAAGCTATGCATCTGAGAAGGAGTTAATATCTAGAATACATAAGAAACGTAAAACAACTCAACACCAAGAAAACAAATAATCAAATTTTTAAAAGGACAGAAAATCTCAAGACATTTATCAGAAAAAGACAGAAAAATGCCTAGTAAATGGAATATGAAAAAAATGCTCAGGATCATTAATCATCAGGGAAATGCAAATTTGAACCACAATGAGATATCATCTCATATTTGTCAGAATGGCTATTACCAAAAAGTTGAAGTTATCAAATGATGGTTTGGATGTGGATAAATGGGAATCCTTATATACTGTTGGTAGAAATGTAAATTAGTACAATCATTATATAGAACAGTATGGAGGTTCCTCAAAGAGTTGAAAATAGAATTACCAAATGATTCAGCAATCCCACTTCTGTGTATTTATCCAAAGAAAATGAACTGAAAAAGATAATTTCAGTCTCTGTCAAAGAGATTTTTGCATTCCCATGTTTATTGCAGTACTATTTACAATAGCCAAGATATGGAAATGTAAGTGTTCATCAGTGGATGAATGGATAAAGAATCCTTTTTTATTTAACCATAAAAAATAAAAGCCTATCATTTGTAACAATATGAATGAATCTAGAAAATATTAAGTGAAATAAGCCAGACAGGAAAACAAATACCATATTATCTTATTCGTTTGCAAAATTTTCAAAAGCCTATCTCACAGAAGTACAGGGTAGAATAGCGGTTATCAGAGGCTGGGAGGATAGCGTGGGTGATGTGTGTGTAGAAACAGATAGACAGGAGGAATAAATTCTGGTTTTCTATTACACAGTAGAGTGACTACAGTTAATAATATTATATTGTTTATTTCAAAATCACTAGAAGAGAGAATTTCAAATGTTCTTACTATAAAGATAATTTTTTTAAGATAATGGATAAGTTAATTACTCTGATTTAATCATTACACAATGTATACATGTGTTTAACATCACATAGTATCCCATAAATACGTACAACTATGTGTCAACTGAAAATAAAACTCTTTAAAAACAAAGCACAATATCAAGATCCTATGGTCTCTCTTAAGTAGACGAAGACATCTTTTCTTGTTTTGAAATATTATTTACCACAACTAACATATATTTGTACCAAATTAGAACTCAGAAGCCTTATCTGTAAAATAGCTATCTTTATTCTGTTATATCATGCCATAATAGAACAAAATTTTTAAAAGATAAAAACCTGAAATATATATGTGACTATTTTTATTATTATATTATGCTTTATATTTTATGCTATTCTAATTATAATTTTAATATTGACTTGTTTTTGGAATAATATAAATAAAAAATAGTTTATCATTCAGTTAATATAATCAAAGGAACAATATAAATAAAATTTTGCATCTGATATATGTGGCTTATTGATGTGTTAAAATAGAAAATAGATTATAACTCTCCACTTTGTATCTTTCAGTAGAATAATCAAACCAATTGTCCAAGAAGACAATTTCAAATCTATGTAGGCTAGTTTTCTCCCAGTCTCCTAGAAGGCACAGAGTGCTCTTGTTAAGATTTAACTTTAGCCACTGTAAACATTGGTACAAGATTTCAAGTCTGAGACTAAATTATCCCATTCAGTTTTTTACAGCATCAGTCAGTGAAAAATAGCCAATCTTCCCTTCTAGTATAGATCCAGTCTGTTACACAATGTATTAGAACAATGAAAAATATCCCACATGAAAACATCAGACGAAACAGCAGATTAAATCCATTACAATGCTTAAATTGCACTGAATTCTTTATATACAGTAAAGATCAAAATCAGAGAAAAAGTTCTTACCATTGGCAGGCAAACAGCCTGAACTGAAAGATATATCATCAATAGCCATGACTCTATCCTGTTCATCAGTTGAAGCCATTTGACCTTGAAAAACAACCTGCACAAGAAAAACAAAACAAACAAAAACACAAAGCAAGGAACATCACTGTCTCACAGTGTTATAGAAGAGAACTTGCAATAGGAAACATGTCACTCTCTAGAAGCACTTGGGTGACCATGCCAATTCCAGGTGCAAAGCAAACACTCTCAAAAACAAAGGAAATGTAGGGTCATCACTGTATCTCAAATGTCTGGCATAGGATAGGGAACCTGTTAGTGAAATGCAGCAATATTCACCTGGATTCTTCCCTACAACCATCTCAAGTGTTCAGTTCCTATATGTTCATACTGCTGTGCATTTACCAGCTTTTGGATCCATTCTCTATCTTGAGCTCCAGTTCTTGGCATCTGCAGTTGTGTCCTATCTTCCCCTTTGGTTCTCTAAATCTTACCCACTCTTGCCTTAAATGTCATACTCATGCTATCCTACTGCACATTTTCTGCCATTACGTAAACATTGACTAGGAATGATTGATTGTTCTGTGACTTATTGTTAAAATGACTGAACGTGACTCATACCTGTAATCCCGGCACCTTGGGAGACTGAGGCAGGTGGATCACTTGAGGTCAGCAGTTCAAGGCCAGCCTGACCAACGTGGTGAAACCCCATCTCTACTAAAAATACAAAAAATTAGCTGGGCATGGTGGTGGACGCCTGTAATCCCAGCTACTCAGGAGGCTGAGACAAGAGAATGGCTTGAACTAGGAAGGCAGAAGTTGCAGTGAACTGAGATTGCGTCATTGCACTCTAGCCTGGGCAACAAGAGCGAAACTCCAGCTCAAAAAAAAAAAAAAAAAAGAAGAAGAAGAAGAGGAAGAAAAGGGGAGGAGAAGAAGGTAGTAGAGGAATAGAAGAATGGCTACTCCACAGTCAAAGCAGGGCATTCCCAAAGTAAGAGGAGGAACGTGTCCACTCTAGGTACAATACTTGTTTATACATAGGATTAAAAAAAAAAAGGTCATGGGGAGATGTACTCTGCTACAATCTTTTGTGATAAAGAATTAATTTTCTAAATTACTATATTTTGCAAGAATCTACATCATTATCTTTAAAACAAAATTAGGAATGATTCTGTTCTCAAGATATCAGGATACCGGGACATTCCCAAGTCTAGGTCTATTTAGTAAATGTTACCAATTTGTTCCCTTAACTGTAAACATCTAAAAGCTAGGAATATTTAGCTTTCCAGGAAAATAGCCCAGAAAGTCCCAGCCTCATTTCTCAACCCTCTGTCAAGGTAGAGTCCCTTTGGTTCTAATGCCTCTGACAGAAAAAGGTTTTACTTCAACTTGGGGCTAAATTTCTACTGTATGTTTAGTTTGTTTTATTCTTTGTCTCCTTGAACATTTTAGGACAATGGTAAAATTAATTGCTTATATCTGCAATTTCTTAAAAAATGTGATTGCAATTAATCAGCAGCATGCAATGCCTAAAATCGTTTTATCCAGTAGAGCAGACAAAGGAATATTTCATGAGTCAGACACAACAGATTTGACCAGACTAGGGGTTGGTTTTTTTTCCTCCTATGTATTCTAAATCAGTGTAATGCTTTAATATAATTTAAAAAATGATTATGGGTCAGTGAGATCTGAAATCAAACTACCCTAGAGTCTAAGCTGGTATGGGACTTAGTAGGATAACTCTCCAAAGCTTGTACTTCTCAATGAACTATGTGGTAAATCATCTTTCTAACCTAGAGGATTTTTGTGAAGGGTCAATACAATAAGGTATCCAAAGAAGTAAACATAGTGCCTTACACATAGAAAGTGCTCAAGAAATTTTAGTATTATTATTCCATAAATATCTTCAGAAACTCTCTGAAGTGCTTCCATCTTTGCTAAGTAAATAAACACTAATCCTTGTTTATGCAAAGCATTCCCTCAGAAATTAACCTGCTTCAAATTCATTAAAGGATAGACCCAGTCATTCACAGATGGAGGTAACAAAGCCCCCAGGCGAACGTCAGCTGCAGAGGCTTTCTCCAAAGCCCATGCTAAGCTGGGATCCAGCTGGGATTGAAATCTCCTATTTGGGTATTTTTAAAAGAAGGATGCATGGCTTTTAAACTATTAGAAGTCGGCATGGAAAGGAAATGGCAGAAAATGAAATAATTCTCAGAGGCTTGTAAGTTGATGAGGAAGCAGATATTGTCTGAAGACAGTGATTACCGAATTCCCTAGAATAAGGCCCTCACTAAAGCTTTTCAGGAATGAGATACTAGATGGTGGCAGGCTATATTACAAGCACAGCACTTCTCTGTGGCCCACCAAACAAAAGCAAATGAATATCTGCTCACTTGCTGACAGGATAGAACTAAAGCATACCTGCAATCCAAAGACTGGTGTAGCCGAAGAATCCCGAGAGAGTCATATGGTCTCCTAATTTTTGCATAGCCTTTAAGGTAAATGCACTGTTTTCACATCAGCAATAGTGTATTTTGGAAAATAAAATTAATATATTGCACATGCATCTGCTTTAGTTGAAGCCACTGGTACATTTAAAGCACTCAAGTGAATAACCTTGCTGCATCAGCTACAGCAGAGTCACCCTGGATATTACATATTCTGGAGTTTTACGGGTTTTTTTAATTGATCTACTGCACATATTTAATCATCAGAACTCAAGATGTATCACTCGAGAATAGAAGGCTGAGCAAAACAAGGACGTTATTTTAAAGGTTTGACCTACAAGATACAGCAAGTTCCAGCTCTACTCAACACCGTAATCTCTTACGCTTCTCAGAGGGACCTTGACTGAAAGACGGGCAGGTCTAAGAAGGCAAAAAGCTTAGCAAAAGTAGTTTAAGACTCCCATACCATCAGCTGTTTCAAAGCTGAAAAAGATGTGTAAATAATAATGGAGTTGACTGGTAGATAAGATTCTCATCTCAGTTATTAAATCTCTACCAGAATGGAGAGAGATGGAACTTCAGCAAGTTCATCCTTCAGAGCCTACTCGATGTGACTCAATCTCCATAAAAGCAATCTTGGCCTGGTTTTGTTGCTTTTGTTGTCATTGTTGAGAAAAGACAAGCAGACACAGGAGATTAAGAAGAGAAGTGTAAGAAATAAACTAAGAACTTCTCCAGCAGTTAATAACATTTGAGCATCCACAGAAAATTAAACACACTATTGGTACTCAGGGACTACTCATTCTGCATACCACAACCCTTGAAAGCCACAGATGTCTTGAGGGCTCAGGGACACAAAGTAGCCCCACCAAACACTTGTCAATCATCTTCTCTTAACATGGTATACAGAACTTTCCCTTCATTGTACCTACCACATCCCAAGAGGTCCAAATTAATCTTTCTTAAGTAAATAAATGAATTGTTCATAGAAAGACTTAAGTGCCCGATGGCTTAAGATGCCTTCCCAACCACCGCACCCCCAACACTGATATTTGACTTCAATAGAGTACAGTCTCAATCTCTGGTTAGTGTTTCCAGTGAGAGTTTCTCTGAAGTCATGTCATGAAGGTGTCATTTAACCATCTGTTAAGGGATTTTTCGTAGACTTCTTTTGATCCCCATTAAGTTTATCAAATCCTGAAAATTTGAAATTACAGTGATTTCTGACCAAGCAATTAAGAAACTATGTCATTTTTATAATTCAACTTTTATAGTGAAGATCCTGTTCATTTAGCCATTCTTTCCCTCTTAGCCACTCAACAGAATCAAAGGTAAAATTCAATCCAGTTTAACCCCTCTATTTAAGCAAGTGCTAAATCCACCATATAACAAATGATTTATATCAAATTTATAAAATCAATTATTATATCATTTTAATAACACAATAAAAGAAACCTACTTGGATTAAATTGGCTCACAGATCAGGATTAGAAAATAATTTTTTAAGGAATAAAATGCTTTAACATCTCACGTTTAACAGGAAAATTTTGTTTGATTGTCCCAAATGTTAAAATATGCAACACTTCTTCTAGACCTTGTAATAATCATTAGATTATTATTTATACCATGCATAAGTTTTATTAGGCTGCATAAATAACTTTGTCTTTTATAGGTTTGAATTGGCTTTAATTATCTAAATCATTTTAGAATTTATCTATGAAACGAATATGACAATTATTCTACTTCAACAACATTTGGAATTAGTATTTAAATTAAACATTCTCCTTCCTCATTACCCAGAATTCCCTTCTCTCAAAAGCATAATAAAAGTCTGGAAAGAAGAAGAAATGAAAAGAAAGAGGAAGTCGGAATAGTAAGAAAAGTAGAGAGGAAAATGGAGGGGGTTCAAGAAATTAAGAGAAAATTAAAGGTTGTATTTTATTCATATATCAGTATATCTTAAAATATATCAACTTTAGTTTTAATACATAAAATTTAAAACCTTATTGTAAAAGTGTCTTTTACCTAAGATGTCCACTTGCAGCATTTGAAATTCAGCCCCTCAGTCCCTGGCACACTGCGACAGTCGCCTAGCTCACCTGGTGTTGAAGATCTGTACCCTATATTTTCTTCAAAGCCATAGTTAGAGAATAGAACACACATACCTGAAATCTCTGTGAACTCTGGATTTTGATGACATTTCTCTCCCACTGATTTGAGAGTGCAGCTGTGTTTTGCCATAAATGCTGAATACGACCTTCACAAGCAGTTTGAATTCCAACCATTAATTTGCCACTCTCTTGGCTGGAGAAGTAATAAAATGTAATCTGTGAAAAACAATTAGTACCCAAACAATTATGATAAAGAAGTCCCCAAACATGACAAGGTATTTAAAATGCTGTGTGTTTTCAAATACCTGGCAGTCATATTGATCATGTGTAGGAAGGAAAACTCTGCTTCTTAAACTTGAGGAAATAAAATCCACTCTGGAAACCAGTGAGAGAAAGTGAGCTGTCAGAAAGAAGAGAGAGAGTACAATATATATATTTATATAAAGAATATATATATTTATATTTATATATATATATATACACTGTATATATCTAATATATATATATATATATAAAGAATGAGTAAGACCTACGATTTGATACCATAACACGATGACTATGGGCAGTAGTAATTTCATTGAATATTCAAAAATAACTAAAAGACTGTGACTGGATTGTTTGTAACACAAAAGATCCATGTTTAAGGGCATGGGTACCCCATTCTCCATGATGTGATTATTATTCATTGCAAGCCTGTATCAAAATATTTCATGTACCCCATAAATATATGCACCTACTATGTACCTATAAAACTTAGAAAAACAAACAAGAGACAACGTGTTAGATTCAGAGTGATCACTGGCAAATATAAGATGCCAAGTGATAATTCAGGTTCACATCCTCATTAGCTTAATATTTTTATGTTTAAAGAACAAATAATTTAACCGTATCATTTACTTTAGCAAACCATCTGACATATTTTTTCTTCATGTTGCCCAGTGAAATAGCTAATTGTGATTATATTCCCTATAATATTGTCATGGGCTACAGTTCAAAATCAAATTTATCACATTTAACATAGAAAGTTACATCTCTGCAAGATGTTATCTAGGGAAAATGTGGTACTATTGGGATTGCCTACCAAAATAAACAATTCAGTGAAGACTTTTGACAGAACATGAGTACCATCCTCTTGGACAAATACCACCATTTTAAGTTCCAGCTCCCTCCTAACCTCATGCATTTCAAGGAAATCACTTCTAACAAGCAGCCAGAAAGAGCAGACAGTAAAACGTAGGTAAGACAGCTCAGGCATAGAGAAAGTGGAGAAAGTCTCGAGTAACCACCAAACTTCACACTCATACAACGGGGCCAAGTAAAACAGTGGGCCCTAATAAATACATTCCTTTCCCTTTAGGTGCACTAAGATAGAGAAGCTAAAAGCAGCCTCCAGAGGATGCCTGCAGCTACAGGAAGATGCATGGAAACAGACACAAAACTCTCCCTCCCAGATAAGCCCGACAAAGAGACACAAAAACATCGAGAGTCTGTGATAAACTCTCCCCCTCTGAACCCTTAAATACTTTTAATCTGTGAGGGAGAGGGCTCTTGACCTAATTTGGCCAGAAGCCCCTCTCAGGTTGATTATTTAATATAGACCTGTTTCTGACGGTTGGGTCGCTTTTCATGTTTCTTTCTGTCTTCTTCAACTCTTACAACTTTAGAAGAGATAATTGCTCACTGTGCTTTTGTTCAGAAAAAGTTGGATCAGAGAGTCCCAGCTTTTCCTAGGATTATGGAAACAACTCTGAGCCCTGATGCTTTCCTAGGCAATGCAGTACAGATAATACCAGTGGACTCTCATGGTTTAGAAGCCTGTAAAATAAATGTTGAACATTCCCTGGGCTCTCATCGATTTCCCGTGATGCTTTATGTGGGTTCTAGCATATAATCTGAGAACCATTGTTTTCTGTCACTCTATTTCATGTGCTTTTCCCTGTCCAAAGGAATGAGAAATATGATGATGATGACTATGATGACATAGCTACCTAAGTTATTCAGTGGTATTTTAAAGTCATATTGGAAATCAAATCTAATTGTCACATCATTAAAACAATCAATAGTAAAATTATGAAACCTAAGAAGCCTCTCTTCCCTACTCCTATTCCAAAACTGCACCCTAATTAAGCAGCAAATAGTGATATTAATGATTGCTTATGAATATAGTCAGAGACATAACTGAAATAACTGTAATAACACACAATTATTCTAAGAATATACTTCCTGGAATTATTATGTAAACACAATTTAGATGAAGAGCTGGTAGCATGGTGATGCAAGTGGACTATCATTAGTTAGCTCTTGCAGCAAGTAAACAAACGTTAAGCAAGTGAATAATCAAATAAGCATAATGAGCCATATGCATATATTATTTTAGGTTTAAATAATATTATTAGCAATACAAATGGTAATAGCATTCAATCAGCTCTAAATTGTTGTTTATAAATATTCAACTACTAAAAAGCATCCATGAGATACACAGCAAAATTATTTTCATTTATCAAGTAAGTTACTTAAATTATTCATATTTATTTTTAAAAGCTTGACATTAAAAATCAGATTTGACACATTAAGCTATTAAATAATAAAAGTAGCATTTTTCAGTGATATTTTTCAACTTACATATGAATAAATTATTTAAATATTTAAACAGAGTGTTTTATAAATAAAAACTTTATCATTTGGTATGTGTTATGGCCCTGTAAATTATTCTGTATTTTATTAAATATTGAATAAAGGTTAATCTTCAGGTTATACTAAAAAGCAAAGTTTTAAATTCAGAAACAGCTTGATATCTTTTAACATCTGCTCTAGTCATAAACTTTTTCCTGTATGGGGAAAAAAAGTGTTCAAAATGCACCCAATGGCAATATCTGTTTTCTATGTTTAATTTTAACTTAGTGACAATAGCAATTTTTTTGATACATTCTTCATTTTACCTTGCTCCTTTAGTATGAGTATAGAATTTCTTTAATTCACAGATGGAGATGTTCCCTAGAGAAAAATGTCACTTTATGGACTGTTCCCTGGGTTTCCAGAGAGCATTTATCATCATGGCTGTTTATGAGTTTAAGAAAAAAAAGCAAATCTTTGACAGCATAACTTTTCTCCACATGACCATACCCTCATTTAACACTCCCTTTTACTAGAGCTCTAACCATCCAGAAGAGACTGCATGAAGTTCTTGGACAACAAAGAATATATTCAATATTCTCTCTATAAAATTCTCGTAATTCTTTCAACAGCCTAATGATACACCAATCACATGCAAACACATAATCACCGTTATCATCATATGTCTCTATTAATCTCTCCACCATACCCATTTCAGCTTGTTTATACAATTCTTAAATTCCCATGTTGTGCCTGCATTCATAAAAGCCAATGCATAACATGTCTTTAAAACACATGCATAACAATCTTGTGAAAAGGGTTAATGATTAAAATGACAAAATAACATAAATAGCATAATTTCATTTATAATCTTAAATGTTTATATTAGAAGACTTTTAAAAATACTTTTTCTCAGTTACTGCGTAAGTATTGGAATGAAATCCCAAGTTTGATGACAAAAAAGGAGGTATATAAAATATGAAAGCAACGAAAACCATGAATCAATGTTTGAGAACTAAATCCAGTAACTTTGGCAGTGAATTCCATCAACCTTGATCTTCATAAAAGATAAAGTAGAATTTTTGGTCTCACTTTCCTCAACCATTGATGGGCAGCCTTGCACTTCATCCACTTCCCAAGTTCTGAGTGATTAATGGAGCTCAATGTGAGCAGGAGAAACATAAATCCTGTTGCATGCTACAGAGTAACCAATTGGTTCAAAGGAACCAAAAAAGGAGCATTTTAACAGTGAGATAATATCAGTTCTCAAGAACATTTAAAAAAAAAATCAGGCTGTAGGAAATGATCACCATAACAAGATCTAAGGCTTGAAGCAAATGTTAAAATGTCAAAACTTATGGAAATAGGAAAGTGCGCTTATTTCTGAAAAAAATGTAGTTTCATTCAAATAACAGAGAGCAAATAGTAGTCTTAGATACACACCTCTTCAAGTTGATGATTTCTGTGTATTTATTAAATTCTGTTTCCTTTGAATCATAAGTTTTGATTCATACCTATTCATTAAGCTCGCAAGCTCAACAGAACCAGGTAATATTTGCTAAAATGGTATCACTTAAAGAATATCCTCAAATAGTAATCCCTTATCATTACTAGCAAGGTGTACATGGACGCTGCCATGTCGACTTATGTCTGATTTCAGTGACAAAGGACTTTGAGAGTCACTTTAGGAGATCATAAAATACATAATAAACCACAGGAGTATTGTTAATGAAAATGCCAGAATAAAGACCTCTGACAATTTTTCCCCAACAAAATCCATTTTAAAACTGGCAAAAATGTCAGAATCAATTTGTCTGGAACTCTGGAAGTTGGCCAAAGTTTTGTAGTAATTTGGAGGGCTTTTATTCAACAAATGGCAAAATACCAGTTTTAAAAAATGGTGCCTTTATGGACTTTAACTTGCCCCCGTCTCATTGCTCACTCTCCAGCTCCACATTCAACTTTGAAAAATTGCAGCTTGCATTCCTGGTGCAGCCTGGCAGCCACAAGAACGAGTAAAATGGAGCTAGAGCTTTTTCAAAGCCTCATTCTCAAATAATTGTCATTATTTGACCTTTCTTTTAGTTCCCTGAAAGACCACAATTAAAAGGCCATCTGAAATTCACCACAATAATGGCTTGCTCTGTACCAAAAAGCTTTTTCTACATAAGGGGCTTGTTGAAAACAATTACTAGCAAGTGTTATAACTTCATAGTCACCTAAGGCAGTGTGTAACAGTTGGTGAAAATAATAGACTAATAGAATGAGACACTGATAAGGACTTTAACAAGGTCCAACATATTCCTGCAAATCTAGCCAGACATGTGCATGTATAGGACTGTGCACATGCTCTGGAAAGAATGGAAAACACCCTAAGCCCTAACATCTGGCTGATATTGAGGCTCTGTGAAAGCAGGAAATGGAAACTAAGGCAGAATTATCAGCTATTTGGGTGAGTATGGAAGGTGCACCCTAACATACACACAGAGTCCCTCAGCAAAACATAGAGATTTATTGGTCCCAGGCTGCTATGGTCTGAATGTTTGTGCCCCTGCACACATACACATTCATATGTGGAAACATAATCACCAATGTTATTATATTTGGAGATGAGACTTTGGGGAGGTGAGTAGATCCTAAAGGTAGAGTCCTCATGGATGGATTTAAATCATTTATAAAAGAGGGCCTAGACAATTGCTTAGCCCCTTCCACCATGTGAGAACCTAGCAGGATAGTATGATCCTATGAAAAAGGAAGTGGTCCCTCAACAGACACTGAATGTGCCAG